AGCTGAATATACACATTGGGTTCAAATGATAGGGCACCAGCTTCTGAGTGAAAAAGCATAGCAACAGTACAAGGCCATGAGTTTCAAACCTAGTACAGCACTATAGACTATACATACAACAGATTTGCAATAACCATCTTACCTATTGTATATAAATATGTTATATTTGTAATAGAACTTTACAGTCTATAGTATATATAGAGCTTACAGCCTTGAGCTCAATATGGTGAGAATAAAAAATATTACCTATTCGTTGTTCTGCTCTCTTAAAAGATTATCCAAAAATCCATCAGTATCTATAACTACATGTGCCATTGATGATGATCACGATGAATAGGTGTAACTCTTTTAGGTGTGCTCAGATTTTGATTGAGGAAGTTAAAACCCAAGGGTTTATCATTTAGAAATACTTATGTGTTCAATAGTATATGTTCTCAAGTCTACTATTTAATCATCCTTATTAGATATCTAAAAGATTCTGAGTATAATATTTTACTCTTTCTTTTTCTAGAGATTTTCCTGCAATAAAATATAGTCAATTGAAAGACGTACATTTAACTCATTGCCTTTTCTGAAGTTCATGGAAGTTGCAAATAGAGTTTTAATATCTCGGGCTGGGAATGTGGCTCAGTGCCAGAGTGCTTGCCTAGCGTGCATGAAGCCCCAGGTTCAATTTGTCAGTACCACTGAAACAGAAAAAGCAGAAGTAGTGCAGTGGCTCATGTGGTAGGGTGTTAGCCGTGAGCTAAAAGAAGCTCAGGCACACTGGTCAGGCGCTGAGATCAATCCCCAAGACGCTCCAAAACAAAAAACAACAACAAAAAGAAAACACTTCTTTATCTCACATATATCACCTCATTTTGAAATGGAATTAAATTGTGCTAGTGAAAAGTTACTAATATATATGAAATTATTTTACACTAGCAAAGATGAGTAAGTATCATTATAAGTCAGACAGACTCATTACAAAGCAGTTGTTCTCAGCCAATGGCCTGTAACCCAGAGGCTTTTTAGCAACAGTGGATATGCTATGTACATGTAGTGGGCAAAGATGTCTAGAGGGATGCTGATGTCCTGCTTGTATCCTACAATGGACAGGACAAGGCTCCACAGCAAAGAACTGTGCAGCCCCAAATGAATGGACATACAAAATCCTGTTCTCCAACAATGAGGGTCACTTGACACTGTATGTGTAAATATGAAAGCAGAAATCACAAGCAAGTATGGTCCACAGGAAGATTTGTTTTTATGTTTCCTTGTTTTTGTGTTTTTTAGTCACTGAGGCTTGAACTCTGGGCCTGGGCGCTGTCCCTCAGCTCTTCAGCTCAAGGCTAGCACTCTACCACTTCTGTCAGAGTCTAGCACTTCTGCCTTGTTCTGATTATGTGGTGCTAAGGAATCGAACCCAGGGCTTCACACATGCAAAGCAAGCACTCTACCACTGAGCCACCTTCCCAACCCCCACAGAAGATTTCTTTAAAGCACGAAGAAGTTACAGAATTGTTTGATTATATGTAAATTATAATCACTGTGAACAGGTAACCTTTTGAAAAAAAATTCATTTTACCTCCATTCTAGAATTCTGGGCAATTTCCAAAGGAAGTCTGCTTTATGGATTATAACTGTGACTTAAAGACAATATTACTTTTCGTCTACAATTTTCAAACCAAAGAAATGAATACAAACTCTTCATGAAGACTAATACATATTGAAGGTGGCTCTGTGGTGGAGCACTTGCCTTCATGCCTGAGGCCCTGGGTTCGAATCCTCAGCACCACATAAGCAAAAAGAAAAAAGCCAGAAGTGGTGCTGTGGCTCAAGTGGTAGAGCGCTAGCCTTGAGCTGCAGAGCTGAGGGACAGCGCCCAGACCCAGAGTTCAGGCCCTACAACCGGATCCACTCCCCCCCCCCTCAAAAAAGAAAATGTTGATAATTTCAATTCCATGGTGTATTTCAGAGTTGTCCATCGTAATCCTCTAACAAATGTTGAAGATTCCTATCTTTTTAAATTGCCTGCATTAAATATTTCTATTTTAATAACCTTACCTGTCTTGAGATCATTTCTATTATTCTTGATTAGCTTTTTCAAAGGACTAATAGTTTTCAGTGAGCCTAAGAAAGTCATATACATATATATTTTTAAATCTTTTCTGGTGCTGATTCTAGGGCTTGAACTCAGGGCCTGGACGCTATCCCTGAGCAATTTGACTCAAGGTTAGGACTCTAACACTTTGAGCCGAAGTGCCACTTTTGGTGTTCTGGTAGTTAATTGGTGATAAGAATCTCACAGATGGGTTGGGAAGGTGGCCAAGTGGTAGAGCGCTTTCCTTGCATGCATGAGGCCCTGGGTTTGATTCCTCAGCACCACATATGCATAAAGAAAAAAAGCCGGAAATGGTGCTGTGGCTCAAGTGGTAGAGCACTAGCCTTGAGCTGAACAGTTGAGCGACGTGCCCAGGCCCAGAGTTCACGCCCCACGACTGGACCCCCCCCAAAAAAAAGAATCTCACAGAGGGCTGGGAAGGTGGCTCAGTGGTGGTAGAGTGTTTGCCTCACATGCATGAGGCCCTGGATTCAATAAATAGAAAAAGCTGGAAGTGGCACTGTGACTCAAGTGGTAGAGCATTTGCCTTGAGCTGAAGAGCTGAGGGACAGAACCCAGGCCCCAAGTTCGAGCCACACAACTGACAAAAATTTTTAAATAAATATGTAATAGAGTCTGACGGAGTTTCCTTCCCATGTTGTCACTGAATGGTGATCCTCAGTTCTCAGCCTTCTGGGTAGCTAGGATTACAAGCATGGGAAACCAGCATCTGCCCACATATGCTTTCATATGTGCATTCCAGCCTCGAAAAAAATCACAGCAGCCAGTTTTACAATACATGTGTTTAACACACACACACACACACACACACACACACAGACAAACACACACACACACACACACACACAAACACACACACTTGAGAAAGAGCAGAGAGCCTAGAATTCAAAGCCAGATTGGACTTTCCCAGCTGTTATCTCAAACACCAAGGGGATGACAAAGCTTAGGAGCAGAGACTTGTACACACAAGAATCGGATTTCAGTCCCTAGTGCGTGCGTGCATATGTGCATGTGCACACAGACACACAATTTATAGAAGTATAGACAACAAAATATAAAGGCTGCAATTCTTCCCTAGTGCTTGCAAATAGGCCTCCATGTTCTGCAGTAAGGAGCCTCATAAATTCCCCTTCAGGAGGGGACTTTTCATCATGAAGAGAGCTGAGTTCTAGGGAGGAATCTCTTTCAGAATTCTATGCTCTTTCAAAGCCTTCTGTAGACAGCACTCCTGCAAAACACCAGATTGCAGCAAATGCTGTGGTAGGAAGTATTCCTTCACAAAACGTTCCTGTGTCAGAAGGAAGGCTCCCTAAAAACACAATTCAGGAAAATCTTGCTGCTCCAGGATCCACTGTGAATGCATTCAAGGTAATGCTGCCAATACAAAGCAAGGAGGCACAATGGGAATACCTCAGAAGGGCCTTGATTCACCTGTGAAGCCCTTCCAATCACCCATTCCCAAGTTCCATCCTTTGCTGATCAATTTGAAATGCAGTTAACTCAGCAGCTGAGGCCCTCCTGTCTCATGTTATCCAGACCTTGAAAATTGACTGCTCTGAGACTGATGTGCAAATGTCTGTTCCAAATGCATTTCCAAAACGGGCCTGCTGATGAAGCTTCTCAGTGAACAGCAAGAAATCAAGGTGTCAAGAGCTGAGTGGGATACGGACCAATGGAAAACAGATAACTACGTCAAGGAGAGCACTGAAGTTCAAGATGAACAGAAGGAACCAAATGAGGCGAGGACAGCTGTAGAACTGCAAGCCCTGATTTCCCCATCCTTTAGATACTCCTTCAAGGAGGAAAACCCGGGCTTTAGGCCATTCCAAAGTCATGTGACTAGGACTGTGTTCCCTACTCTTCTCCTTTATAGAGTGGAGTGGACCCAAAACACAGAATAAGTATAGAAAAATTGCAAAATAGTGAGACAAAATACATTACTTTTTCCATTTGGTGTTTTTTTTCTACCGAACACAAGAAGTTCCAGGATATGGCTATAACAACAAAATCATCTTGGCAATATCTGTGACTGTAGTAGTAATGATTTTGATTTCCATTTTCTGTCTCATTGAGGGTAACACCCACCATTCATGCACGTTTGCAGATTATATCTTGTTTCTGTAGCCAAAGCTGTTTTCCCACTCTACAGGTGGGAATTTTTTGACAGTGCATAGTGTTTTCCCTATGGAACCGTATTTATGATTTTTAGGCCTGTGGTAACAAGGTATGACTGCTCCTACATTAAGAAGAGAGGTCTCTTGTTAGTAAGAGTTGAATTTGATGCCAACTAGTTGGGGACCATCCTAGGATCAGTGTGCAAAGGCCATTAGTAATTGATCACTGGCCATTGAACAGGCAGGCCAACTGAATCTTCTAGTGCCTCACTGTTTATCTAGAAATTTCTATACACTTCTGTACATACTTCTGTATGTACAGTCCAATGTTGTCTTTATATTTTTTCATTATTTTCTCTGCTTACTTAGTTAGATAAGCTCCGTGAGAAGAGGGAAAATGCAGTGTTTCCCTTGCCATTGGTAGTAATGGTCAAACATGGAGATGAGGCATTGTGCTAAGCAGTGGTGTTTGAATGTTACACCGGCTGACCATGTGCTCTAACTCCTGAGCTATACTTCTAGCCTATGATATTTGAAATGTCACCTTTCACTATTCTAATTCATGGGAGAAAATAAACAAATGATAAAGCTACCAAACTTTTTTTGGAAGAAGGAGTGCTAAGTGAGAAATGATTCCTATCTCTCACCTAAAGAAATATATTTCAGTAAATGGAGAGAGAGACAGAGACAGATAGAGAGACAGAGATAGAGAGAGGAATCATAATGTACATTCTCAGGCTCACCACCCAAACCAGCTCATTTTTTCCTGGAAGCCTATGACCATGGGGAGGAAGAAAATCTCAGATTTTAGCATGGAAGAAAAGGACTTAAAGCTCCCAGAACTGGACTTGCATTTCTACATAACTCCAGAGGTCCTGCCATGTGATTTCCTTGGGAAGGTCTGCTTTGACCTTACTACAGCAGCTGCTGGCTGTCTTCTGGGGATATCCAGGTCTGCAGCCAAACCCTGCCTAGCTGTGGAGCAGGGGCCCTGTAGGAAGAAAAGGTCCCTGCTCTCAGGAAGAGGGGATCCAGGCCCCGGTAGCCCCAAGCCTAAGCCCTTCTGTTTTAGGAACAAAGCTGTCAGTCCCCTAAGCAAACATGTCATAAAGCAGGGGTGGGGCAGAGAACTCAGGGCCCCTATATAATAACCTGCTCCAGGTCAGAACCTACCATATTGTTTTGTCCCCTGCTATTAGCAGAGACTTGGCATACCAGATCCCTATTTCCTACAATATCCATATCCCTTTTTCCCCACAATGTCCCTTTTGCCCTCAATGTCCCTAATGTATTGCTTTGTAGCAAAATACGTATTCCTATTAGTGCAGATGTGCCTGCTGTTTCAGGCCAGGCCAATTCCACAGTGGGCCCAGGATGAGTTCTATACGAGCTCTAATCCTTATGGACCCACAAAGCCCGGGTCTTCACCCTTTTTGCACATCCCACCTGAACTTTCATCACCCAGGATGGGAGGATTTGATTTAACAGGATCCTCTGCACCATCTCAGATGTTTACTGAGCCTCAGGAGCCAACGGAGACCAATACAGATACTGCAGAACAGCTACCTCCGGGCTCAGATGCTTTTACTGTTTCGCATCAAGACCCGCCAGAGAAGGTGACTCTGCAGCACAGACTCTCACAGATGGTGCCAGTGCTTGGTGAAGATCAGACCCGGGCCCAAACTCTGCCTCATCTACTCAAAGGTACCATATAGAATATTGCTCTGGCTGAGACTTCAGAGCACTCCTCACTTGAAATGCCTTTTCTGAAAGGCAGTTCAGTAGGTAGCCAGTAAAGAGAACACCATGTGTTCTACCCTATGATATTTGAAATGTCCTGCTTTCAGGCAGGAAGAGAAGTTTACTGTACAGAACTGCTTGCTCCCAGCCATGCAAGGTGGAGACCACATGGACTAAAGAAGGGGTGGGGAGGGGGGGAGGTGAGGCTAGGTGAGCGAAGGTGTGGCCACACTGGATTCAGATATGATCTCAGAGCCTGGGACTCTCCCTTGGTCTGATGGGGAGCATGGAGGGGGGGGGGAAGTGGCAGCCTGGGATGTGACCTCCAGGTAAGCCAGTGACCTAGATGACACAGGTACTGAGCAGAGACTTAGCCAAGAGGAGGGAGGAGCCTGCCTCATCTATCCAGGGAGGCCCTTGCATTCCAGCCTTTTGATAATGATGAAACAGGGCACAGACTCTCTCTGGCTACTTCCTGCTGGCAAGGGGGTGTCACCACTTGGGGCAAAAGGCCAAGATGTAGTCTTTTCCGGGAGAAGGCAGCAGATAGCAGCTGTCCCTTGATGACAATCCTTAGATGATGTCTGGAAGAAGTTTGATGAGGCAGGGGCTGGGCAAAACACTAGAGAGCACACAAAAGGTAACAAAGGCCAGAATGTTCGTTCCTGTGTACATAGAAGGTAGACAGGTATGGACAGTAGATGGGCAAGCCTATTTCTAGTGACCTTCTGGCTCTGGTTAATTTTGAAAGGCAGACACAAAGTGGCTAATGTGACATCATCTCCTATTACTTCTCTCCATTGTACCTTGTTTCCTGGACTGGCTGAGTCACAGGGGTCTCTCGGTGCTTGTTGCTAGGGTAGCTTGTCCCAGTTGGCATTCACAGGCTTTGAACTCAAGGCCTTGGGAGCTGTCCCTGAGCACTTCTGCTCAAGGCTAGTGCTCTACTTCTTTGAGTCACAGTGCCTCTGGCTGGTTAGAGAGTAGAGTCTCTTGAGCCATGCCTTCAGCCTGGCTCTTTGCTGGTTAGTTGGGAGGTGGATTCTAAGGGGAATTTTTCTGCCTGGGCTGGTCTTGAACTGCAATCCTCAGATCCAACAAGTCTTTGTCACAAAAGCCCCTTTATTTCCTATTAAAGCACAGGAGACCCACAGAAATAATGAGCACAGCTTACCTGTAACTTAGTAAGAATTGACCAACAAATAACTTGTCACAGTTATTTCTCTGAGGGTCTGGCTAGATACTACAAAGAGGAAAATCTGTATCAAAACTCAGTGGACATGATGAGAGATTTTGTAAGCTTGTAGGTGAGGAAAGAACACCAGGTGAATAAAAGTTTACTAGGGGTATGCTCCAGGCGAACTCCCTCTTAAGGATCAGAGAGGTGGCACAGAGTCTCCTTGTAGCAGGGTTTATATGGCCAGGGTCAGCAGGAACTTTTAGCAGGTAACTAACTGGTTTTGCAAGTTTGAGTGGTTTCAGGCTAATGCCCCCAAAGGAGGATTGGGACAGGTGGTGTATGAGGAAGTGGCTTTTCTAGGCTGCCTCTACCCTTCAGCGGCCTGACATGCTGGCATGTTTTGTTTGGTAAAGGGGTGATGATAGTCATCTGGTGACTTCCTGCTGGTCAGGGGCCTAGTGGGGCTGCATGCCGGTTGTTTAGGACGCTGGAGGGATAGTGGGCAGGCGAGTGTACGGGTAGAGAAGAAGGTAATTAACTGTCCCTCTGGTCATTTCTTGGATGCAGCTCTGGATGAACCTCAAGAGGCATGGGGCAAATAAACAGAAAAGGCACATTAAAATTAATGGGCCTGAAAAAAGACTAATTAAAATTAATGGGGGCTATGGAACCAGACCAAAACAGGTCCTCCAGATTGCTAATGTTTGAGCTCCTCTTTTAGCTTATTTAAGGCCTTGATATTTTGTTCTACCAATCCTGACTCATTACTATAACAACAACATTGTTCCCGCAAGATATGGCAGGTCCCACCTTTTCTGACTGTAAGGAGGCCAACGGCTTGGCAGTTTTTGAGAGCAACCTGTGCCAGGGAGGGAAGCTGGCGCTGGAGTGAGGCTAGAGATACCGAGGTGAATTCCATGGCCACCTGGAGTTTATCTGAAAATTCCTTAGCTGAGACTAGGCTATGTCTTAGGGCCCAAGAAACCTGTGGAACCACTTGGGAAATAAAGGCTCGACAATGATCAGCTTGAAGGGAGGTAGGGAGGCCAAAGCAAGGAATAATTTCTGAAAGTAAAAATGGGGTTACAACTCCTGCCGTCTCTTTGGGGGTTGGAAGACCTCAACCTGCCCCGCTAGGGTGTCTACCAGGACAAGAAGGTACCTTGTGGCTGAGGGCTTAGCTCAGTGGAAGGGTGCCTGCCTGGCACGCACAAGGCCCTGGGTTTGGTTCTCAGCCCTGGAAAAAAAAAACAACGAAGGTACTTCATCCTTTTGTGGGTGGCATATGGATGGACATACCAATCTCTGATGGATTGTAAAGGCTTGCCTAAGTCCCCCTTGAGGGGTGGTGCTGGAGCAAGTAAAACATGCCTGAGAGGCAGACTCAACTATTCTGGAAAGCTGAGGTGATAAAAGAGGGGCTTTAAAAAAACCAGTCCCCGGCTGGGAAGGTGGCTCACTGGTAGAGTGCTTGGCTCCCATGCATGAGGCCCTGGTTTTGGTTCCTCAGCACCACATAAGCAAAAAAAGCCAGAAGTGGCGCTGTGGCTCAAGTGGCAGGGTGCTAGCCTTGACTGAAGAGCTGAGTGACAGTACCCAGGCCCAGAGTTCAAGCCCCACGACTGACAAAGACAAAAACAAAAACAAAAAAAAAAAATGTCCCTTGGGCCCAATAGGAAGTGAGGAATAAACCTGCTGTATGAGGGTTTCAGCCTGGGCCAGAGGCAAGGCCACTTCTTTCCCAACAAGATCCATTCCTGTTCTCCATTCCTGTGCAACCACCCCCACTCCACGCCTTTTTTTTTTTTCACTCAGTTGTGGGGCTTGAATTGTGGGCCTGGGCTCTGTTCCTCAGCTCTTCAGCTCAAGGCTAGTACTCTACCATTTGAGCCACAGCGCCACTTCCAGCTTTCTCTGTTTCTGTGGTGCTCACAAATCCAACCCAAGGCCTCACGCATACCAGGCAAGCACTCTACCACTCAGTCACCTTCCCAGCCCAGCGCCACCCTTCTCACAGACAAGAATGTTTTCAGATGGGCAATACTGAGGAGTCTAAATGTGAGACCTGTAAAACTAAAATGGAGACTGTCTTGAAAACCCTGGGGAGGCACCGTCCAGATCAGCTGACTGGTCTGAGAGGTGTTTGGATCCTCCCACGTAATGGCAAACAGATTCCAACGGCCGGGTCCAAGGGTATGGTAAAGAAAGCAGCCTTAAGATCCAATACCGAAAAATGGGTCATAGAAGGGGAAATATGGAAACGGCGGGTAGATGGGTTGGGAGCTACAGGGTGTATGGGCACCACAGCTTCATTAATGAGATGAAGGTCCTGTACTAACTGGAAGGAGCCATCCGGTTTGCAGACAGGCAAAATAGGGGTGTTATAAGGAGAGTTAGTTGGCACCATGAGTCCCTTCCTTTTCAAGTACTTTCTTATCCGGAGGTAACCAAAATTTCCCCCAATTCCTTTCCCAAGACTTTCTTTACTACCCTCTTTATAATTCCTTGAATTCCGTTCCCAAGGCTTTCTCTACTACCGTCTTTACAATTTCTTAAGCTTCTTTGTGGCTAGAGTTTAAACCAACCATTTTTTAACTTTGGCTTGTGGACCTGGGCTATCTCAGAACTGCCTCAAGGCACCGCTTGGGTGAAGTTTGCTAGATTTTAAGGCTAAGAGCAGGATCTCATTCCTCTTAGTGCCTCCATTGCTTATATGAGGCATGAAAGACAGCTGGCCTTTCCCTGGAGGCTGGGAGGGAAGTCCCTCAGCTCCCATAACTGAGACCTGTGACAGAGAAGACCAGGTGTCAATGATCATTCTCAGCACCAAGGCCAAAGGTAGGGGGGTGGGGGGAAGGAGGGAGGAAGACTCTGGCAGGAGTGCTTGTGACTTTTATGGAATCGGGAGGAGCCTAGTTTCTGGAAAGCAAGACAGGATACCCTAAGACAAAGGGTAGGGATTTACCCAATCTGAAGGTGTTGGGTGCATAGAAGACCAGGCTCAGGTCCTGGGTCAGACAAAGGAGAGAGGGAGAGAAAGAGAGAAAGGTTCCATAGCTAAGATATGGAACCAACCCAGATGCCCCTCAGTAGATGAATGGATCAAGAAAATGTGGTATATATACACAATGGAATTCTATGCCTCCATCA